TTGCACATATATTGCGTGTTGATCAGACTTCTTGTGAGATGGTTGAGCGTATCCACTAGACCAACCGGAAGGCTGTTCCGGGTCCGTCTAACCCGCCTACTGATCCTCCTAAGTTCATTTACCCCAAAGCGACTAGGTCCTATGTAAGTTTTCTTAATCCATTACTTTGTTTTATAGAACTGTTTGATATGTTTAAAGTAATATGTTTTAATAAACGTAGTGCTGCTATTAGTTTGGGGTGCCATTGTTTGGCAGAGGTTAGGCTAAGTAGATAGGTTGGTTGAAAATGTGACAACCATTGGTAATTAGAATGCTTTATTTGTTAAAAATAAGCATTCAGTATGTTTGATTTACAACCATTATGTTTGATTTACAACCATTATCTTGCAGAACTATCTAAAGATATAAGTTCACCCATTTTTGTTTTGGTCAATAACGGAAGCGATTCCAAGAGCTTAGAGACACGTCAGAGTATAAAGCAGGGATCTCTTGGTAAATATCCTTTCTCTCTCTTCCTAATTTAACCTTTGGTTTCCTACGTACCGGCTGAGCAACTATTTTCTCTTTTTTTTATTTATGATATTTCTCTTTCCTTTTGTTTGCTATTTCTTCGTTCATAAAATCCAAATAAAATAATAACTTAGAGTAAAATCAAAGGTTTTCGAGTTAGGAGGATTTTTATAAAAAAAATTAAAATTAAAAATAACTATGTTTTAAATGGCGATGTCGGTGTTCATCGGTAATTCATGCGAATTATCGATGGTGTCATAAAAAGGAAAAGAGAATTTCTAACTTGCAAGCTCGGGAAGAATTAAGAGAAGTCGATGATGCAAGTGTGTCCACACCCTAAACTAACCTGACGAGGAATCCATCAAAAATAAAAACTTCTAGCAGTTATGATGGCTAATTGACGGGTTAACATATTGTCACAATGATAAATAAATTAATTACCGACGAATATCCTTTCCCCGACAATCATATATGTCTGATCATCTTTTTGGTTTATTAATGTATTCTCGTTAATCCGTCAATAATTTTTCGCTTGAATAAGTTTTGATGATAACCAACTTTTTAGTAGTGATTAAAACATATTCATATAAATAAAACATCCTTAAATGACGTAGTCAGAGACACTTGCGACTTAAATAAGTGATTCAACTCTCAACATATGTGGACAGTTCAACGTAATAGGAATTAGAAAACTTAAAAATAAAGTTAGATTCCATATACATTCATTTATGTTACCTAATAAAGTACAATTAGTATATTTAACCAATTATATTCATATTAATATTTAACTTATTTATCGACTAATTATTATGTTAGAATCAAATTAAATCATATACGAAAAATGTAAAAAATAAGTTTTGAGGTTGACGTGAATGGAGAGAAAATTAGTAACTAGAAGCACATTTAATTCCTTATTGTAGAAATTGATTTTTTCCCATAAGTTAAGGTTCATAAAAAACTCACAAATATCACTTTTTTGTTATTGTTGGGTGGTCACAACCCCCCCTCCCCAAAGCGGGGTGGACCTATATACAAGTCCCTAGGTGCGCGGGCTATCTGTTAATCGACTCGTTGTAAAAGATAATATTTAGGGGTTTTAAAGGTGCATCCACTTTATAACACTACAAAACAAGGACTATCCCCTACGGAAAATTTTGTTGGTAATCCATTGCTAAAAGCCTGATTCGTCGGAAATCCATCGGTGAAAAACAATGCAAAAGGTATCACCCGGATCACTGACGGCCACATGTTTTTCTATTTAGAAAAAAAAAAGAAAAAAATTAAATATCCTTCGTTAATCTGTCGCAAATTACCGACGGATTATCGACGAATGTTTTAAATAATTTATTTTTCCTTTTTTATTCAATCCATCAGTAATTTGCGATGGACTACTAATCCATCTGTAATCTATCGTAAACTACTGACGGATTTTTAGTAAATATATATATTTTTTTAATCTATTCCATCCGTAAGCTGTCGGTGTACTGTTGGTAATTACAACGGATTTATTCCATCGATAATAGTCAATATTATAGTAGTGTTAAATTGATGCCTACTTTTTAAGTTAACAAAAATGTAGCGTCGTTAAATGGAGTATATTTACAGCTCACAAATTCAGATCCATTTGACCTTATTATTTTTTTAATTTTTTGCTAATAGCATGTTGCAAATATTCTCTTACACGGCATTTTTGATGAAAACATTGTTTCTCCAATTAATATTTGTCCTGAAAATTTTTATGAGCCTGCCTTTGTCTCCCATTGTAATTAAATATTTAATTAAATAAGCTCACAAGTCGTATTATCCATATCAAACGACTTGTCACAAACTTACCTGCATCTTAAATTCCTGATGTTTTGTCAGGCATTCCCGACATCCTATTTTTATCATTGTTGTAAGATTATCCTAGGATGTTAGAGATATTCCTCCTTAGGGACTCATAATACTCAATAAGGTTTGCTCCATCATTCCGATGGTAGAAAAATCGACAATTATGCCATTTTGTAACGTCATAAACCTAAAGCAATCTGTCCTCCTCCTCTATTTTTTTTTTTGGACAGCAAAAAGGCTATTTATTGAGAAAGGAATAAGACTAGTGAGGGGCTAGTTAGTAGCAGAATACACAACATTAACCGGGTTACAAATCCAATTCTCCCAACTAAAGGCCTTTCTAAACTTCGCTCTACATGTAATCTAATCATACGCAGTGAATTGGATGTCGCTACAAACATCCTTATCAGACTTGCACTTGCCCCTAAACGTCTTGAGATTCCTTAGTGTCCAGACGGTCCAAAAAAACGCTGCCATAATCACCTTGCCCACCTCTCTTCTGCCACTATCTCCAATCGCGCAGGCCACCGACCACATGTCCCAAACCGAAGTCGCATTTGCCGGCCACCAATTTACCCATGAAACCATATGCGCATTGATAACCTGAGCCGTGGAACAGTTCATGAAGACATGGTTCAAGTTCTCCACCGTAACCAAGCACGTCAGACACTCATCAGAGTTGCATGCCACTCCTTAGAGCTGCATGCCACTCCTCGTTTCAAGAGGTTGTCCCTAGTCGCTAACCTATTGTTAAGCGCTTTCCATAAGTGAATATTGGCCTTGCTGGGGATCCACTTAAGCCAATCTGTTTCCCGTTCCTCAGAAGGGAGCGTAACACAGTCAATCAATCTCCTCAGAGATCTAACAGAAAAGATATTGTTAGCCTCCAGCAACCAAGACCACCCATTCCGATCCGGCACATCAATTAGGTGACTATCGATGTTGATCCCGATGTCCCCAGGTCTTTTTCAATACTTTTGATATTTCTCCAGACAGATATTTTGCCTCTGCACGCTCCAGGCTGAGACGAGTTGCGGAGACGCACGACCACATTCCAGAATGCCTGATCTTCCGTTCGCTCTCTCCACCACCATTTGGCAAGCATTGCAAGGTTTAAGGCATGTAAACTCCCAATGCCCAACCCGCCACTCTTCTTATCGCTAAGAACCCGATCCCATGCCACCCAACTAATTCTTTTCCCATCCTCCGTACCGCCCCAAAAAAAACGCCGTCTTATACTTTCCAGAGTACTAATAACCTTCTTAGGAGCTTTGAACATCGTGAAGTAGTAAGTACCCAAACTGCCCAACACGGATTTACAAAGGCATAACCTTCCTCCGATGGACAAAGTCCTAGCTTTCCATACCGAGAGTCTCGACTTGAACTTCTCAATGATGGGCTGCCAACTTATACTCTCCGATGGCCGCCTCCTCTATAAGTTTCTTGTTTGAGTCTCCTCAAAGCCACATGTTTTTCTGACTATTATCTTTAGTGTTTCATGAACTTACTCGAGATGTATGCAAACTAACCGAACACACATAGTCAACCAAAAAAAGTCAAACCAACAAGTTTACCAAATAATATCAAAATCAACTTAAAACAACTATCATCACGTAAATTTGAGCCAAACAAAGTTTTTATATATACGAAATTAGCAAGGCTCGTAAAAGTATGGTAACATGAAAAAACGTGTTTGAAAATATTTTTATAATGAAATTGAATAATAAATCATACCATTTAATAGTCGTTAGTTGTGGCCTGGGACTTAAACTATCATTTTTTGACTCGATCACTTTATGGAAAATTAGTTTCATTGGTCGAAGGAAGCTTCTAATCGGACAATTTTGAGAATAGATGGGTGACTTCTTTATTACACTTGTATAGAATTATTCAACCCATTCCGTCACTAAAAAACAGAAATTCTATTATTTGGTGTAGATGTCAAATCTACATACGTCTTACGCTCTAGATCACATCTCCGAAAGGGATTTATGGGCTCGTTGGGTTTAGTTTTTATTTAGAATTAATTAGATCTCCTGTGGTTTGTTTTGATGCTCCATCGGGAAGTCGTTTCCATCTGGGATGGCATATTGGTGTTGGTCTGATGCAGCGTATGTAAGAAAACGCACGCTCGAGTTCTGCTTTCATTGATTCGACATATACCAAAAAATGAATCTCTAGAAATTAAGAAAATTAAATATGTTCTCTTAATCAAGATCTGAACCCTAATCCTAGCCATAATATCTTCTTTAAATTCTAGAAATTCCATGAAAACAGGCAACAATAAATAGAAAAAACCAATAAACCTGGAAACAGGGAAAAAGTTACGAAACCTCCCAAAGAGCTGAAAAATGCCGATTTGACCCCTTAAACGATCGAAATCTACGCAGTTGAACTCACATTCTTGGTATTCTGCACCAATGTTCGACACCGAAAATGGATATTTATCACTATGCCAAAATAAAACAAATATTACACGTCATTATATGGCATGGATAATACTTGTAATCATCTAAGCTATAAAAGTATCATTATTTAATATACAAATTTTTTGATGTTTTCTAGAGGAAAAACACGCACAGTTGACTTGCTTCAGGGAAATCTCTCTCCCTTTCTCCTCTATAAATAGACTATGAATAAGCCATCATTTAAGCACAACAAAACCCTTCTTTCTCTTTGCTTATTGTTGAAACTGTCATACTCATGGCTTCATCAACTACTTCATTTTTGTTCAAGTTTTTCACTTTCACTTTATCCTTATGGGCTTTGTTTGGGAGTTCTTCTGGTCAGCTATCGGCCAATTTCTATGCTAGAACGTGCCCTAATTTCCGTTCAGTTATAACTAGAGCTGTGAATTCGGCTGTGTCAAGTGAAGCTCGAATGGGAGCTTCATTGCTTCGCCTCCATTTCCATGATTGCTTTGTTAATGCAAGTCTTCAACTTGTTATCACCTTTATTTTATTTTTGAAGTATATCATATTTATATATGGTAAATTAAAGTCACACACATTTCTCACTTTTGGTGATATTTAAACCCCTGACCTTCAGAAAAGTGGTGGGGTTTGATGATCCGTTGGTTACCACCTTGATTTTCTTTTCAAACTCACAGTATTATCATTGATATATTAGGGTTTAGTTTCCTTAGACCTTTTCCCTTACGACCAAGGAAACATGTATGCATGTTACCTAACAAGATTAGAAATCAGTTCTTCACGGAAATTAAGAACAACTTATCATAGAAATGTTTATTTACTAAACTTTCAACTTTCAAATGATGATTCTCGTATCTGTCAGTAATCCATGGGTAATGTGTCAAATTACTGATGAATTACCGACAGATTCTCGAAAATTTTCATTTTTGATTTTCTGAAAACATGTTTTTCTACGTCTGTTGGTAATTGCATCACAGTCGGTGATTGATCGTCAGCAATTCGTGGTCTTCAAATTTAAAAAAAGATTTACGTAAAAGCTTACCGACGTGTAGGAACATTATATTCCATCAGTCATGTTTGATGGAAATTATTTTCTGACGAAGATCACTCCTTTTTGAAGGAAAGTATTTTTGCAAAAGTCCTACTTCTATTTCTACTGATGACAACAATATTATTTATGATTCATTACAAATGTATCAATTGGGTGAATGCATAATAAAACTTTTCTAGTTGAATTTGGTTTCCGAAATTCCATAAAACTCATGTAAACGTTAAACACTTTCTACGTATCTTTGACTTTGAATCCATATTATGCATTTTTATCAAGTTGAAATTAACTAAAATAATTATTGTTTTTATTTGCTTTCAGGGATGTGATGCATCGGTGTTATTGGACGATACTGCAAATTTTACTGGTGAAAAAACTGCGGGTCCAAATAACAATTCATTGAGAGGATTCAACGTCATTGATACCATTAAAACCCAACTGGAGCAACAGTGCCCTGGTGTTGTTTCTTGTGCTGATATTCTTTCTGCTGCTGCACGAGATGCGGTTGTTGCAGTAAGTAGAAACTCTCTATAGTTACTCCTTACTATGATCACAGGTTTATATGATGCCAAAAATGTCTAGCTGTCATAAATATGACAGACTATTTTATATTGAGTTTATTTTGCCAAAAAATTGTTCATCCTATGTAAAAATATTGCAATAAGTTTATAAAACATTCTTGGAGGTCTTAACAATTTTTTTTTATATATAATATTACTTGAAAAAGTGTCATAAAAACATCTATTCATATAAAAATATGACATTTTGTCAAAAGTATCCTATGAAAAATTAATACGACACTTACTTTAAATAACACAAAAAATTGTAAGACGCTCAAAAAAATTGCTCAGTAAACTTATTTCAATGCTTTTAGGTAAGATGCACAGTCGTTTGGTTCTATAAACTAAAGTTGTAGAGAGTAATCTACTATAAGACTTATAGAGTAATCTTATAGGGTAGTCTATGAGGGGCTATTTGGTTGGTTTCCATTAAGTACTAGTTGTATGGATAAAGCTAATTGTGGATTAATTGATGAGTGTATTTTTTAAATGGGAAACAAATTTTGAAAAACTTGTTTTCTGCATAAATCTCCCTTTAGAATATAAGTCACTTTCTATACCATTAAGTCATTACCAAATAGTCACGTATAGGTGACTGATGTGAGTCTCATTAAGCTCATTAAATTGTTAACAAACAAACTCTTACATATTTTTAATATCATATAAACCCGATTCTATTGCAATATGCTACCTTGTTTATAGTGATTTTGTTTGATTTTCAGCTTCGTGGGCCAAGCTGGAACGTTGTTTTTGGTAGAAGAGATTCCACAACCGCAAGCTTAAGTGCTGCAAATTCAAACCTCCCTTCACCAGATTCAAGTCTTAGTGCTCTCATTTCTTCATTTTCAAACCAAGGTTTTACGACTAATGAAATGGTAGCCCTCTCAGGTTAGTTACTTCTATGAATTATATCTACGAACAAATCAAATGAAAATCGTAAAAAAATAGAAATACATGAGAACTGATTTATAAAAATATTTCTTTACATATTTTTTATCAAATGATGGGGTTTGAAGATATTGTTTCAGATATATTTTGTTTGACACTGTGATAGTTTCACATGTATTTGTTTTCCTATGTAATAAAATCTAACGTCCCCCTTGCAATCGCACGGGTACACAATTAGACCTGTGAATACACAAAATGTTGATGAATCCGTTTGGATATAGGATCTCATTCCATTGGTCAAGCGAGGTGCACCACATTTCGCAACCGTCTCAACAACGATAACAATATAAATTCAACATTCGCAACATCATTGAGAGCAAATTGTCCTACAAGTGGGGGCGATAATAATCTAGCACCACTAGATGCTTCACCTGCATCTTTCGACAACAGGTATTTCAACGATTTACAGATCCAAAGAGGGTTATTGCATTCAGACCAAGAATTATTCAATGGGGGTTCGACTGATGCACAAGTAAGGASCTATGRTTCAAATCYGRCCACTTTCTCTMRRGACTTTGCAAGCGCAATGGTGAAGATGGCCAACCTTAGCCCTCTAACGGGCTCCAACGGTCAAGTTAGGACCAATTGTAGAAGAACCAACTAATTAACGTCATATCTCTTTCAATTGGGAAATAATCGATTATCTTTTTGAGTTCTTGTGTTGTTGATGGTTTTCTTTTCTAATGGCTGTTATCAAAGTCGAAGTTGTTATACGTGGAGAGATTGTTTTATTGTAAAAGAGACAATTTGCAATTGTATTTTGCATTTCCCTTCAACCATAAGATTTGCATAAATAAATTATTGGGTTTTCATTGAATTCCATGCACTACTAAAAAAAAGAGTATCACTGACTGAATTTTCTGGCGGAATTTCCGTCGGAAAAATTTTCGACGGATCTCAAAAAAGTCAAAAAATATCAACTTTTATCCATGTCCGCCACAAATCTCTCACTGAACTTTTGAAAAAATAAGTATATTTAAAACGGTTTTTCAACGGATTTGTGACGGATTTTTACTTATTCAAAACCATCACAAATCCGTCGGAAATCCTTCACAAAAAATTTGTCTAATTTATTTAAATAAATTAATTAGCGTTAATCAATAAAATTTCCGACGAATTAATTTTTTATGTTAAAAATTAAATTCCGTCGGAAATTAGTCGGAAATTTTCAACCTTTTTATATATATATTTTTGGTAGGAAAAAAAAATTCTTTTAACATTACCGACGGAATATAATTTTTAATAAAAAAAATTAAATTCCGTGGAAAATCCGTCGGTAATTTTAAACTTCGAAAAATGGTTTATTTTTAATTTTTTCCAAGTTTAAGTTATTGAAAACTTTTTTCTTAAACATTACCAACGGAGTAGTCGTATATTCAATTACATTTAATGGATCTATTGGTTTTATTCGGTTCAATTGGGCTTTTATATATATTATTGGGTTATATTGGATTTTGGTGGAATTTAATGAATCTTAGTGGAATTTATTCGGTTCAAATAGGCTTTAATGGAGCTATTGGGTCTTATTTGATTCAATTTGGCATTAACGGGTACTAATTGGGTCTTATTTGGTTCAATTGGGCTTTAATGAATCCATTGGTCTTTAATAGATCTATTGGTTCTTTTTTTGATTAATTGGGCTTTAACGGGTATTATTGAGCTTTATTCGGTTCAACTGGACTTTAATGGATCTTAGTAGACTTTAACAGGTACTATTCGATTATTTTAAATCAGAAAAAAGTTTTTAAATATAAGTACCGACGGAATTTCCGTTGGAAATTCGTCGGAAAAATGTTATTTTTATTTTTGAAATAAAAACCAGTTATTGTTTTGGAAGAAAATGGAAAAAGTTTACCGACGGATTTCCGACGGAAATTCCGCTGGTAACTCTAATCACATTTTATATACCTTCTAATTAACCCGGAAAAAAGATAACATATTATAAAATTGTTCGACAAATTTCTGACGGATTTTTTTGTCGGAAAATACAAATCCGTCAGAAATTCCGTTGGAAATTGCATTTAGCGGCGGGGGTTTTTCCGACGGCTAAATCCGTCGGAAAGTTGTTTTTCCGACGGAATAGTGATGTGTGCATTTTGAGCATTAAGAAGAGACTAATTAAGGTGGAGTTAAGTTTATAAAATGAAGTATGATGGAATTGAAGTCTCTTAAAAGAATTACAGTGAAGCATAAGGAGGAATAAAATTTCTTTTTTGGCCACGGAGGTTCAAATGCGGTAACTCCAGATTATCTGCAAAGCAGGTGGTCGTCCTAGAATTAGTCGGCTCGCATAACAGGTTGAATATCCAGGTTAATAAAAAATCAATCCCGTTTGACTAATTAAAATTTAATGATTCTATCCATCCATTTGAATTGTTTTATAAAATATCTCCTCTAAAGAACCATCATAAATTCGTAACGAAAAGCATAAAAACATGATGTTAATCGTCAATTTATGATCGTATCAAAAAATAAAAAAATACTAAAAAAGGCTTTGCACAATCATTGTACATTTGGTATTAATGTCATTTTTGTCGTCTCGTGAGACTTTTAATAATATATTTTATTAAAAAATTTATTTTTATTTTAAAATCGGTAATTTAACAAGGCTTTGCACAATCATTGTCACTACAAACTAAAAAAGTTTTTCTAACCAAAAAGTCTTTAGTAATCCAGAAAGAGCCATCACCAGCGGATCTCACGGCCATTGATCGTGATTATCGACTTATTCACTAATGGATTAGCCATGACTGGCGGACGTAGCTGTTGGTTCCGGCAGAAAAACCGGTCGGTGAAACTCCTTTGGTTTGTAGTGTGTAATTGATTGATGAAGAAGAGCATCAAGAACTTTCGCTTGATTATGTAATGTTTAAGGTGCTTACTTATTGGATTATTGCTGCCGATCCGGGACTAACGATACATGCATGCACACACAAAGAAAGAGGGGGAAATTTCGTTAGGAACTCAAGAACCACCATAATGTGCCACATGTCCCTTGTCATGGTTAATAAGACATTCATGATAAATATGAACATGTTATTCATCATAAATCACACAGTCATGATGAATATGTTACAATATATATGATGAAAAACATGTGTTTAACGTGATATATTGGAGTTTTATTTCACATAGTGAAGATGGTGTTGTTCCACTATGTGAAAATTTTAAATGTCACAAACATGAAACATGACATGAAATACTGAAATCTTGTTTCATATAATCAAATAAGATAAAAGTTAAATTACTTGTAATGTTTCATATAAAATTGGAATGATAAACATCTCTCAAAAATACTTTTTTATCTTAGTTTTAAAGTATATAAAAAACTATTTGGATTTTTCAATTAAGAATAGAACAAATAGGTTATGAATCTAAATATCTATACCATATTATAAATCATTTGACAAAAACTCTTAAAAACTATTTTTTATGCTTGAAGTACTGTTTATTAATGCATATTACTTAAAATTCAAAACTACAAGTAATTTTGCATAAGTTCAACTTATTAAAGCTATATTTTTAAATTTGTGTAACTAACTACGAATAAACATAATCAAATACATAATAAACATTCATTTTAAATATAGAAAATCTAAATTATAATTAAGATAATTATTGAGTTATAACAGAATTTTTAATTATTATCTTTATAAAAATATTATTAAATCAAAAACAAATTATTTTGTTATTAAATCTAAATTAACGTATAATAAAAAATTGAATTAAATAAGTTACACCAAAAAAACGAGAATTATTAAATAATTAATTTGATTCTAATATCCATTTATTTTTTTCAAATTTAAATTTCATTCAAAAATAAAAACATTATCGTCTTCTCAAAACCACATAAAATCGTATTATATCGATAGAGAAGAATAAAAACTAAACATTAAAATAAAGATTTATCTCGCTGCATTACTCGAATATCCATCTAATTAACTAAAATCAAATTATTTTAGAAGGTTCGATTTTTAAGCAATTCGTGAAATGATGTGGACGTCCTTCTCAATGGTTATAAATTGACATAATTCCCCCTTCAAGTTGTTGATATAACAAATATTTCAGTTAACGACCCTTGATTTAAATCAACTTGTGAATTAGATCAGTTCTTATGTTTCTTAAAATTTTATGGTTGTTATTCGATTTAACACATACATAAATACATGCATACATACATATATATAGATAGAGAAGTGAATTATTATGCAACCCTTTACATATGTACAACCAATACAACTCAATCTTAATCGTCCATTTCATTTGATGAATATGTGATTTCATAAAAGTTTTGATTGTTTCATAATATAAAGTATTGATCATAATTAATAAACCCTAGTCATTTTTCATAAATATTCAAATCATAATAAATTAACTCTCATCATTTCCATAAATATCTCAATTGATTAACTTGTATTGATTGTATAAATGTGATGAGTTATATTTAAAACGTCCCCCCTCTCTCTCTTTCTCTCTCTCTCTCTCTCTCTATATATATATATATATATATTAAATCAAATAAGAACTACAATTATGTTACAAACCTTCAACAACCGACATAAGAATATTTTTTACATTATATTTTTTCATTAAATGCTAGGTTGATTCACATATATTAATTTCATAATATAATAATTTCACATGTATTTGTTTCACCACGTAAACATTTTTTACGTGTATTTTTCATTTCCATAGGTGAGTCAATTTTTTTTAGATATAATTTTTTCAAAAGGTGAACACAATCATATGTCAAATATTATCTTAAATCATAGGTTTTGATGAAAAAAATCATGTAAAAAATATTTTTATATTGGCTCTCACCAGTTTGTAAAATATTTGTAGTTCTCATTTGATTATGGTCTTTTATATATATATATACTTAGTTATTTGAGAACTCTAAAATTTGTGAGGTTCGTGAGAACTTCTACTTTAAAGTTATGTTTTACATGATTTTTTTTTCATCTAAGTATAGTATTTAATGTATTAACTAATATATATTTGTTTCACAATGTGTTTGTTTCATATGTATTTATTTCACAATGTAAAACTTATTTACGTGTAACTTTTGTTTCATAAACACGCCAAAAAGGATCACATTGTGAACAACTGAACATAATACATATGAAACAAATTTATATTAATCACTACATTAAATTCTAACTATAGATGAAAAAAAATCATACGAAATAGTACATGATGCACTAATCCTTAATGTTATCACAATTTTTTAGGTTCTCAAAAGAAGATTCATATATATATATATATATATATATATATATATATATAAGAGATAGGACTTGGGATCACGTGAGACCAGCATGTTTTCGTGAGACCCGTGAGACCAGCTTTTTACACTTGAAACTTCACAGCAAAATGCTGTGAAGGTAACCTTCACAGTGTTTTTGTTGTGAAGGTTCGACTTTTTAAAATCTTCACAGTGTTTTTGCTGTGAAGTTCAAGTGTAAAAATGTGCTGTCACAGGTCTCACAAAAACAACATGTTCTCTTGTGAACCCAACCCTTAGAGATAGAGACAATATGACCCATTTGGGTATAGATGTGTCCTATGGATCTTTTTGGCCTAAGTAGGTATTAAACCCCATTAATTATACAATTAGACCTTTAAGTCCAGTAAGAATTAACTAAGTAAACCTTATTATCACCCGCTTAGATCATCAATTTATAAGATTTATTATAACATACATAATTAGATATATGCTAATGTGCCAAATGATCGTTAATAACCCAATAA